TTTTTAACTGCATCTAATATCCTATGTACATATTTAAAAGGTGACAGTGCCGCATTGTCTTCTAGGACTATATTTAGAAAACTTTAACTCTCATTCAGCCTTTATTAAACTTAGGCTCTGTTAAATAAAATACAAAAAAATTCTTAAAATTACTTCTTCTCTTTCACCTTTCTAAATATGAGATTAACAGTTAGATGCCTGTTTGTCTGGTAATTATAATAATAGTATATGGACAGCAGTTTCCTAAAGTATCTTAAAGAAACAAAAATTTGAACATTTACACTCAAACTGTAATTTCACTCTACATCTTTTTACAGATAACAAACAGAACTACTAGAATAACTGAGACTCCTCCAATAGGATTGGTATCAACTAAAGGAACTGCACACTGCTAATATAATCTTCAGTTCTCTAAACCATGGGATTCAAGATTGAGGAAACATTAAGAATAGAAGCAAGGGCTGGGCACCCATAGCTCAATGGTTAGCACACTGGCCACATGCTCCAGGGCTGGTGGATTCAAACCTGGCCCGGGCCTGCTGTACAAAAAAAACCAGCCAGGCACTGTGGCGGGTGCCTGCAGTCCCAGCTACTCAGGAGGCTGAGGCAAGAGAATCGCTTGAGCCCATGAGTTTGAGGTTGCTGTGATCTAGGATGTCACAGCACTCTACTAAGGGTGACAAAATCAGACTCAGACTCAATTTAAAAAAAAAAAAAGAATAGAAGCAAGACTAATAAATTCAAAGTGAAAAAATTCATACTGATCTCACCTGCTTTCTCTGTGCCTAAGTTTTCTGTCCTACAGAATAAAAAGGACAAACCTCATGATCTCTTTTCTGACACACTATAATTTCCTCTTAATATGCATAAAAAGTACACATGCCCAATAATTAAATGACAGATGTCTCAAAGATGTGACCTAAGCAAACACCTTTATGGATTTCACACAGACATATAAAACAGACACTTCAAAACTAAATGGTAAAGTCCAGGTTAAAGATGGCAAACTAATGGTGGGCCTCTGTAGTCCCAGCTACTTGGGAGGCTGAGGCAAAAGAATCACTTAAGCCCAAGAGTTTGAGGTTGCTCTGAGCTGTGACGCCACGGCACTCTACCCAGGGTGACATAGTGAGACTCTGTCTCAAAAAAAAAAAAAAGATGGCAAATTAAGCACACACATTCCCCTCCTGGACCCCACTGGGTAAAGAGGGGGAATACAACATGCAAAAAGTAACAAACAGCAAAGGAGGGGGGTAGTCACCAATGGATGGGAGATGACAACATACTTCTGCAAGACAAAGTAAATGGGTGTAAACCAAACAGGTTGAGATGGGCTGCAGACTAAGGATATAATAAAAGTATACTATTCAAAGGGAGGAAAAAAAGAAAGGTGTGTAAGAAAATCATAGATCAAATATAAAGGAAACTAAACTATAAAATCCTTGTAATTCCGTGTCAGATGTTAAGAGAAAAAAAAGTGGTTTTATCTTTTTGCTGAAATGCTGTGACTCACTGGGTAGTTCAGGGGTAATAACACTGGACTAGTAGGAAATCTAATCTTAATATGCTGTTAGAATATTAACATTGAATATCTACAGTTGTAATAAATGTACACACAATTCACTGACTTTTACTTACACAAACATAGAAGATGGGTTGCAGTGGCACTATACAATGTAAATGCTACTAACCTTAATCATGTAAAATTAAGTGTAGCTAATATAAACCAACAAAAAGTACATGAAGAATGAAGGTATTAATACCTACATTTTACAAAGTAGAGAATCAAAAAATACTGCTGAAATTAGAAGGAACAAGAAACAAAAGCTTAAATATATATTTTTAGAGTATAAAAACATCCAATAGACTGGGCATAGCGGCTCACACCTGTAATCCCAGCAATCTAGGAGGCCAAAGCAGGTGGATTACTTGAGCCCAGGAGTTCCGAGACTAGCCTGAACAAGAGCAAGACCTCATCTCTAATAAAAATAGAAAAATTAGCTTGGTGTTGTGGCACCTGGAAGTCCCAGCTAATTGGGAGGACTGCTTGAGCCCAGGAGTCTGAGGTTGCTGTTAGCTATGATGACACCATAGCACTCTACCCAAGGCGACAGAGTGAGACTCTGTCCAAAAAAAAAAAAAAGAAACCAATAATCTTTCTTTAAATGCAACTATCATTAACTGCGAAGAAGGAAAAGAAAGGAAGAATAGGTAAACTAAATCCATATATTTCAGAGCAGGGAGTCAAAAAACATTATTTCAGTCAAAAACTTAACAAGTACATCGCTTAGAATTATGCAAAAAAATACAATGAAAGGACTAGAACCAAAGATAGCTAAAGCTGGCTTCCAGGGAATGGAACTAGGGATAGTATGGGACAAAAAACTGTTGCTCTCCATTTAAGAAAAAAAAAAATCAATGTACTATTTATTATACACATGAACTTTTATAAATTGTTTTTAAAGCGAAAGAACCAAAAGAAAAGGCATTCAAAAAAGCATGCTTAAACTGTCAAAGAAAACTACTTTTAACATAAAAAAAAAACTTTGGGATTTTCAAATTCCTTACTTTCTACCTATACTGATCTTTTTAAATTTAAAAAAATAATAAATGACAATTTTCTGTCACAGAATTCTGTAACAGAACTTGAACCCCTCCAGATACCTATAATCCCAAATCTATA